TTAAAAATTAACATTGGCCTACCGCTTGTACTAATAAAGTGCCAAGGGCCTAAGTGGTCACCTTAATATTAAAAAATAATAATAATAATAATTTTTGTTAACTTGGCATAGGTTATAATAGTATTTTTTTTGAAATTAACTAATATTCACTACAGATGATTATCACCTGTTTATTTTATATACAAGATTTGATACGGGGTAATAGATTTGATGCAGGGTATGTGGGGTAACATGCAATTTTTATTTATCCAATTCAAACAAATGATGTAATTGTTTCGTTCTATTTAAGTAAATAAATAGTGTGATCTAAGAGTGATCAATTTTTTTTCCTGTTCAAACAATCATTCAAACGATCGTTCAAAAAGTTTTTTTCATCTTTTTTATTGTACAACAGACACCTTAGGCTTTTCGTATATAACAAGAACTTTAGAGTTTTTTCGCTTGTGCCAGAAATATCTTGGATTCTTCTTTCGCTCATGCCATAATCTCTTGAAGTCTTTTTTCGCTTGGATTCTTCTTTCACTTAATACCTTGGAGTCTTTTTTCACTTGTGCTATAAAATCCTCTGAAGTTTTTTTTCGCTAGTGCTATAAATTTCTGAATAAATAGCGTGATCTAAAAGTGATTGATCCTTTTTCTGATCGTTCAAAAAGCTTCTTTTCGTCTTTTTTATTGTACAACAAACACCTTAGGCTTTTCGTATATAATGAGTACTTTAGAGTTTTTTTTGCTTGTGCCAGAAATTTCTTGAATTCTTTTTTCGCTTGTTCCATAATCTCTTGAAGTCTTCTTTCGCTTGTGCTAGAAATACCTTGGAGTCTTTTTTCGCTTGGATTCATCTTTCGCTTAATACCTTGAAGTCTTTTTTCGCTTGTGCTATAAATTCTCTGAAATTTTTTTCGCTAGTGTCATAAATTCCTGAGTTTTCTTTCGCTTGTACTATAAATTCTTCGGGTCTTCTTTGCTTGTACAAAAAATTTATTTGAGAGTCTGTTTTGTTTGTAAAACAAAATAACTTCGTCTTGTAGAAAGTAGTAACAAAAGGAAGTAATTTGCTTGTTAATTAAAGAGTTGAAAAGAGTAAATGCAATGGAAAAACATTCAATTTACCATATGATGACACCATCTAACTCTATGATGCAAAGTTTTACAAGGTTAGTGAGGTGCCTTCTTGATAGTTGTATGTTAAAATGACTCTAACTCATTTCTTTTTTTTTTTTTTAATTTTTACCAAGTAATTCTTTCATGGAACTTGAAGCTGATTTCAATTTGGCGCAAAATCAAATTTTTAGAAGAAACTGTGACTAGGCATTAAAAATAACTTCTAACCGGATTACACTTTTTTTTTGTCACCAAGTGATCTCATGACAAACAATGAATATAGATTAATGAGGAAATTATAGCTGTGTATTAAGGTGATTTTTAACTGATTTTTTTTTTCATTAATTGCCGAGTAGCTTCATAACAGAACCTGAAACCAATTCCAATTTGATGCAGAGCCAAAATTTCCAAAGGTTAGTATTTAGTTCATTAAATATTAGTGCTTTTAACTTTAGTTACAAGAAAGCAATAATTTGATGTTTTATTGCAATTATCAAATTATAGTTCAGAAAATGAAATGTATGATTTGACAAATGAAGAGTCACAAGAAGATACTGATATTAGTTTGGATAATGAAATGAAGTAGGTAATTTACTTATTTAGTGTTTCAGTTGTATGTGTCCGCAGCATTAACTTTTTTTAGTAGTTAGCAAAATACCTCAGATAATGAAAAATTACATGAAGGTTTCTTATGATTATACTTTGGCCTTAATTTTGATATGTGAGATGAAGTAGATAAATTTGTTAAATCGTATGCAAGGCTTAAAGAATTTTCTTTTCGACGAAATAGGAATGACTTTTATTCAGACAATTTAAACGTTCGTCGTCATAGTTTTGAATGTTCTCAATCACGTACACATAAAGCCAAAAAAGTAATTGACATTACCAAGCAGCGTAAATGTAATTCAGCAGCAATTAATTGCCAGTGGCATGTGAATTTTAACAAACGTAAGAATGCTACTAAAATAGTTTGTACCTCTTTTGTTAACGAACACAACTACGAAATGAATCTCGTGATTGTTCAAACGGCACTACATTTTTAAAAATTGTCGAAGGAAATGTTAGAGGATATAGAGTTTTATACACGTTCTACGGAAGGTTTAGGAGCAAAAATTCAGTATAGTCTTTTAAGTGCTAAGTACCCAAATAAGTATATAGACAAGAAAGACTTGTATAATACTATTCAATGGTTTAGAATCCCTTCATGTGATAAATTAAAAACTGATGCCGCAGAAGCCTTGCAACAATTAATAGCTTTAAAGGCTGAAGATTCTGAATGGGTAGTTGTACCCAATATTGGTGACGGAAATAGATTGATGGCGCTTTTTTGGATGTCCCCTCTACAAGTTTCACTATGAGCACAATTCCATAATATTGTAATAACTGATAACACTTGCAAGACCAATCATTATGAAATGCCATTATGCCTTTTTTTAATCTTAGATAATAATACTCATTTGCGTATTGTTGCACAAGCATTATTAGAAGACGAAACGCAGGCTTCTTTTGAATAGTTATTATTCATCTTTTTTTTATTCATCCTCACTTTTTAATGCAGCATTCTTTATATTTTCATTCTTTTTTGCATTACTATTATTTTTTCTTTTATATTAATAGTATTACAATTTTAGGGTTCTAGAGTAGTTGAACATTGCGACAAATCAGATGATTCCCAAGACTATCTATACAGATGCAGACCCAGCCATGGGTGCAGCTTTGCAATGTATATGGCCAAACATGCACCATTCTTACTGCATTTTTCATTTAAACAATAATTTCATCAAAAAACTAAGGCCTATCATGGGAAAAAGCTTTGACAAATGTTTTAAGCTTTTTATTATTCCCATAATAGTTTATGTGAAATTGATTTTGAGCGTCGTTGAACGCGGTTTGTTGAGTTTTTCAGATCATTTTCTAAGGTATCTAGATATGCACTCGAAACACTTTATCCTTCACATTATAGCTGGGCACTTTGCTACACACAAACACAGTTTACTGCCGGCATTCAAAGCACCCAACGTGTAGAAAGTATGAATGCAATTATTAAAAAGGAAGTTTCACATAATTTAACTTTATTACATCTGGTTGATGCTATACAAAATCGTTTAAATAAAGAGGCGTGATATGCACAAATAAATAAACAACAGAACATGAATCCATCCATAGATCTGCCTCATGTTGTAACAAAATACTTTCCTGTCATCGATTCTTTAATTCGAGAATACTTGACTCTGCATGTTCTCTCTCTCCAACAACAACAACTTTCCGAATGTTTCTGTATGATACTACTGAAATTTTTTACAACTGGGATCAGTTTCCGCAAGAACCTGAAAACATTGTTGAAAATGGGTATCTTGAAAATAATTTTAAATAGTGTAAAATAGATCTTAAGTCATTACTACAAACTTTGGAATGTGATATTGTTATACATATTTGGATAGTAGTGCCGCAAGGATTGTTTCAAGGTCATTTTACTAATTACATTGTAATACTTGTGGATGGTATGCATTTATGCACTTGCCTTACCTTAGTTAGCAAAGAAATCATCTGCTGTCATTTTATGAAAGTCTTAATGAAATCACATCTTGCTAGATTTCATATTTCTTTGATATCCAGTTGCTGGTACAAGACTGACAAGATGAATGAAAATAAAAATCTAATTGCTTTTCTCCCACCAATCAACTTATATAAATCTAATCAACCTTCGGCAACAAATATCACTTCACATATTATCGATTTTCGATACCTTTCTCGATTTCGCGTTGCTAACGTATTTACACCCGCTTTACAAAAATCTGTTAGCGAAAAAACGTGTTGGTCTAAGGGGCATGAATTAACAAAAAAAGCACTTAATCTAACGTTACAGCTTAACTGTGATGATGAATTTAATCAGATGATGGAGAAGTTTATTTTATCCAAGAAACATGAATTACAACTTTTAG